AGTTGAGTTAGTGTAAAGAGTCCAGAGCACATGTGTGAGTGTGATTGTCTATTTGCAGTCAGATGAGCGCTGCAGTTGTGACCAGTTTGACAGCATGAGGGTGGAAACCCTTTGAAAAAAGAAGTTTATTCTAGTTTGCTATTAGTACTTAGTACTTATTTAAACTAAAACAAGTGTGTATGCTTTCAGTTTATGTTTTATGTACTTATCAGAGATACACTAAGCAAAATTATTCTGAAGTATACTTGGCTTATACTGACAAGTATGCAGAAATGTACAGAAAAGGTATATTTGGCGCATACTTGTACTTAGACATATATTTGTATATACTTGTGGTCTGTACTTGTACTTATACTTTATAAAGTTTACTTTCGTGAACTAAAAAGTGGGATAGTATTAACTAGTAAACTAACAGTATGCAAACTTACTTTTATTATAGCTGTCCGCATGACAGGTGGAACAGTAACAAGCATTTCCATCAGCTCTGTGTTTTCTTCCTTTTCTTTCCGCTTTGGCCTGTGCTGGGCCTGACTCACCAACCTGTCTTACAACAGCCACAAGATGGGGCTGCTTCTCTAGAATTAGGAAAGCTTTTAGCCTTTGTAAGTTCATGCTGAAGGCTTGAGAGGATTACTTACTGTATTAGTCAAACAGTATGACTCCAGAGAGCTAATCTTTGGTAGGAATATATGTGTTCTAACCTGTTTTACTGTACAAAAGGGGAAATATGTCTAGAAAGTACATGTGAAAGCCAATCAGTGCTTTTAAAGCAGCCTTGAAAATCCATCCATTGAGATCCACCCACTGTGTTTTCCTTGTTTAGGCCTTTTGCAGCAGAATGGTTAATGTCTTGAAGGTTTGCTGCTGTATGAATTTGGTTGTACCCAAGCAACTGGTTTAAAGTGGGCATGAGTTTCCTTCCCAGTGTCCTCTGGGTGTGGCTCCAGAATGACAGTGGTTTCCTGTCGGCAGCCCAGACCTACTTTTTCGAAATGGCTGCTTTTGAGCACTGGCCTGACTAACTGGCAGATACATGACAAACATGACTTAGTGGTCAAAACTGGAATTCCAAATGATAGCTGTGAATGTTCAGGACCTCCTTACTGTAAGACATAAAGAGGAGGCCTTAATTGAACATCTAAATTAAAGACATTTTCAGATTTCTTTGAGAGATTACCAGATGGCTTCTGTCCATAACACAAGTTCTAACTTTCTTTTCTGTTGCAGGCCTTCCATCACTACATAATGCAAAAACAACGGCAGGAAACTTGACACAAAGATGTTTTGGAAGGATGAATTTGTCCCAAAGTGGAAACAACATCCTTATCGGCTCAGTTCGATCTGAGTCGTGTGCGGCAGGCTTCTGTGTTATAAAACAATTTCTGCACTGTCACTGAAGTCAAGCAAGAGACATTTTGGACAGATTGTGGCTTGTTGGAATCTTACAGTGATTTTTTTAAATGCCAGGCAGGAACCAACAGGTGGGCATTGTTTGCAGCTGTCCGCTTGACAGGTGGAACAGTAACAAGCATTTCCATCAGCTCTGTGTTTTCTTCCTTTTCTTTCCGCTTTGGCCTGTGCTGGGCCTGACTCACCAACCAAAGTGTATTAATAGATCCACATTATGCTCCTGTTGAAGGGAGGTGAACTTTGTCTCTTAACTTTCCTCTTATTCCCTCCTTCCCTCCATACTGAGGCCTCTTTCCTTCCTTTCCTCCTGTATAGTTTGTTTGTGTTAAAGTCAGGCAGGCATGGCTGCAACCGGCAGCCCCAGTTTTAGTGCAGCAACAACAGAAGCTTTTGGACGAAACTATTAGAATGTAGATCACTCTTATAGGACCCACATCATGGAAAACCAGTGTTTCCCCACTAATAAAACAGTTTGATACAGTATGTTAATGATGTAAAAGTTCCAAAACACACCAAAGTCCATTTTGAGTTCATTGGTTTTGTGAAGGCATGATAACCACTGAATTTACATATGTCCACCTGTTCAGCCTACAATAGTTTAGCCATGTTTGTTCACGCTGAAGTTTATGGACTTGTTTTTTTGTTTTTTTTTTGAGTGTTCATGGTTCTATACTAATGTCTTTATTAAAGAACCCTTGAAGAACCATTTTATTTAAGGGCGTATCTTAGTGTTTGAAAGAGTATTTACTGTTAACCATGTCATTGCTTTTTGATGGCATATGGCATATTGGTATTCATGGGTATCAGTATCGGGTCATTATCAACTGGAAATTTTGGATTGGATATCAGAAGGGGGAAAAGGAATCTGTAATTCTGTAACCAATATATCCTGAAATACCACACTCACATTGTTAGCTGTGTTGTTCTTTCCTGTGGGGAAGTACAGTGTTTGAGCTGTTTGAGCATAATGGCTTTTAGATGCTCATCTTAAAGTGCTTAAATTAAAAATAGCATATTTTAAACCTAAGTAGTGTTTAAAGAAGAAATATCTCTAGTATTCAAAGTTTCAAAATCAGTATAGGAAAAGTAGTATCAGGCCTTCTCTAACAGCCATAGTAAATTGTGTCTTGTGGGTGGGCATGTGTGTGTTTGTGTGTTCATTCCAGGTCCTGACCTATGACTTTTCTCATTTGTACCCGTTCATTTCTTCCTGAGCCAAGTGTTAGCAGACCGGAAGGAGGGGGTTTATTACTCACTCATGTGCCACAAACAAGACCCAGAAGCTGTTTTGGCCATCAGCCCTGAAACTGCCTCTCAGCCCAGCATTATACTTTTTACAACCCAACAAACACCCACAAAAACCACTGCTAACTCACACAAGACCCCAAACCCACGGCACTATGGCCTAACTATGGCCTAACCCACCACACTACTCAACCAGCTTATTAATCACTAGCTCATTAAGTTCCAGTAGATTTTTTTTATTATTTACTTCTCAATCTAAAGTGTCTTTGGGTTTGTAAAAGGCGCTATTTAAAGTGAACTTCAAATGCTTCATTTTAGAGAAATCTACCAAATTAAGAGTTGTTCACAGTGGTGGTAATAGGAACCAGACGTCTGAAGAGTTTAATCCCTCTAAAAGCTCCCTCACAGAAAGTTATTACTTGAAAATGTTACAAATATGCTGCCAGAAGCCTGTGACACATTGCTTTACGATAGTTTTGAGAAGGATTTCTCCCCCTTTAACTCTGACATGTATATCATAAAACATAAAGCAACTCTCATTCTTAACATGTTTACGCCATAAACTAAAAACACCCTCATAAAAATGTCCTGCTACAAACAAATTTAGAAAACCTCCTGATCTGAGCAGATGTTTGGAATGCTTCCATCTTTATTTCCCCACCATGTGGTTTTGAGTCATGACTATAGAACAGACTTAGTGTTTCCGTTCTCATTTGGGCCTGTCAAACTGGCAGAAATGCCCAAAATGCCTATACTTGCACCAACGCTGATTTTCCGTGTTCAGATTCAGCTGTGTATCCACAAGTAGGACAGATGCATGATGGGAGAGGGATTGTGTGTCAGCTGCTGTGTGTTTGAGACAGGATTAATGTGAGCTGTGAGAGGAGAGAGAAGAACAGAGGGAAACTGGTGTGTCCATCAGCGTCTGCAGCTGGCAACTCGAGTGCCAAGCTGGTCCTTACAGCTACTGAAACGCTTTAAATATAGACATCTGCCAGCCTGCACTGCACTAATAATAACAGTTAGTGGTCTCAACTGGAGAGACAAGCAAGCTGCCAGCTTTTATACTCAATCTGACCATTTGGGATTGCAGAGATAACTGCAACTGAATGATCAAGAACTAACGCGACTCACCAGAGAAAGAGAAGGAAAGAAAGAGCCACTGACACTTCTCTGCCTCTGTTTGGGTTGCAGTATATTTGGGAGGTAATGTCAACAGCACAGTGACCCGAGCAAGACAGATGAAGACCCTCATCTGTACAAACGTCAGCAAGAATGGAGCTCATTGGCTGTGTCCCAATTCCCTGCATTATGTCCTATTAGTGGACTTTTCCCAGTAGGCAGGATTAAAAATATTTTCAGATTGTGAGCTCACATTTGGAACATCATAAAATACTCAGCATGTGCTGCATGGTCAGTGGTCAGTACAATGCAAGAAAATTATCTTGGCAAGTCAAAACGTATTAAATGTAGTCAATATATCTCATTTCTTTCTCACTATGAAAATGTACACAGATCAGCCATAACATTGAGACCACCTCCTTGTTTCTACATTCATTGCTCATTTTATCAGCTCCACTGGGTGATGGATCATCAGCAGTGATACAGATTTGGTGGTGTGTTAGTGTGTGTTGTGCTGGTACGATTGGATCAGACACTCCAGTGCTGCTGGAGTTTTTAAACACCTCAGTGTCACTGCTGGACTGAGAATAGTCCACCAACTGAAAATATCCAACCAACAGCGCCCTGTGATCACTGATGAAGGACTAGAGGATGATCAACACAACTGTGCAGCAACAGATGAGCTTTACATCTACAAAGTGGACCAACAAGGTAGGAGTGTCTAATAGAGCAGAAAGTGAGTGGACACCATGTTTAAAAACTCCAGCAGCACTGCTGTGTCTGATCTACTCATACCAGCACAACACACACTAACACCCCACCACCACATCAGTGTCAACGCGGTGCTGAGAATGATCCACCACTTAAATAACATCTGCCCTGTGGTGGTCCTGCAGGAGTCCTGAGGGTTAAAAGGGGCTAACAAAGTATGCAGAGACACAGACAGACTACAGTCTGTAATTGTAGAACTACAAAGTGCATTAATACGGCAAGTGGAGCTGATAAAATGGACAATGAGTGTCGAAACAAGGAGGCAGGTTTAACATTATGGCTGATCAGTGTGTAACAGCAAACACTGAACATAATACATGAACCCTAGGCAGCATCTGAAATACACATTAAAAGCACAATGCAGTGAACTACATCAACATCTGGTCAAAATATCACTAAGGTATTTTTTTCAGATAAAACTCCCCTGCTAGCCTACTAACCATAAATACAGGCCTGCAGAAAACGATTAAAACAGGCGGAGTTTGTGGCTTTGTGTTTTGGCCCCGCCCATTCATTCATTTCTCCGCTCCTCCTCCTCCTCAGCCTCAAGGTTAGGTCAGTTTTCTTTTTTTTTTTTGGGTCTTTTTTAAGCTGCCTTTGGTGGCGACTTTAAACTGGCAGCAATTTCTACCTCCGCAGATTTGAAGAGAGTTAAAGTTAACAGGCTGCAGGTCGATTATAACCAGCGGGAACATTTGGATTTAACAACTGTTGCCCAACGATTAGCAAACTTTGGGGCTTTTTTCCCGAAACACCACGAGTTTTCCCCTCGAGAGCACTTAGGGAGTTTTTGCTCCTCTGTTGTTTCGACTGTAGTCTGTAAACTCCTCCAGGTCTCTTTGTTGCTCCACTGTCGTGTTTACTTGGATTAATCTGCTGGAGGATGCTGCTGCAGCGGGCGCGCTAAACTCCTCCCGCACGCCGGACTCCGAGCTCCTTCCCGCGGTCCTGCCACGATGGGCTGCGGGCTGCGGAAACTGGAGGACCCTGAGGACAGCAGCCCAGGGAAAATTTACTCCACTCTGAGGAGACCGCAGGTCGAAACCAAAACAGACACCGTCTACGAGTACGTGCTGCTGGACTTCAGCTTAGAAGGTACGAAGTTTAGTTTAGTTTAGTCTTGTTTTTGTATATTTCATGTCCCAGTTATAACTGACTGACGAAGTAGGAGCAAGTCTGACAAAGATTCATAGGTCTGTTGGTTGGAGAGTTTGAGTTTTTTGAGCACCGCCTAACAAGAAAAGAAGTTTTCGTGTTGTTTTCCAGCTTCTTATTCGAGTTTTCAATTCCACCTTAAATAGTGTAGTAGTTTCTATGTACATGTGCAGAATCCGCCAGAATGGAACCTCCGCACCGCTTAACCATTTAAGGTGGACCGGATAATTGCAATAAAAGGCTAACTTTAGCTTCGTTTGTTTTTTCGCCAGTGAAACGAGTCGTGTGCTTTAAAAATAGAACTAAATATGACTCAAATTCCCTGAACTCCCACTGAAATGTGCATATACGTTTTTTTTAGTTTTCAAATGTCTCTGTGCGGCACAGCACAGCCGTCTCTGTCTCTGAGCTGAGGATTTGATGGATTCACCGTTTCTCTCTCTCTCCGCTTCATTCGATGCAGAAATAGGTCACGAGAGGGTTTTCCTCTCACTCATGTGCGCGTGCGATCGTATGGAAAACCTGAACTGTGTCTGTGTTTGAACTCAGACGCCTACTCGTCTACAACCAAGACAGGCGAAGTTCTGCTTGAATGACAACTTCAGCTCATCAGACGTTTGTGTGTTACGTTTGTGCAGCCCAGCCACGTGTTTAGTCTTTCCTCGAGTCAACATCACGAGCGGCCGAAGCAGATCACAGTAATACAGACACATTCTTATGTACAGGTTAAAGGTACAGCGGCACTTTACTGGACATCAGGTTAGACATGGTCAGAGACTGAATTAGGGCTGAGCGATCGGGCAAAAACATCACGATACTCCAAGACATTTTCACGATACCAAATAGGTAATGATATTTAGTTTTATTAGGTTTGATACGTTGGAACAGACAAAAAAGCCCAACTAGTGCCACATTTAAAAGTAGTACACACTTAAAAAGAGGGTTCTTCAAGTGTCCTTTAGTGAAGGTGGTGGTTCTATTTAGAACCATTTCATTCTTACATGTTTTTTTCGGATTGATGGAGAATGTGTTGTATATGGTTCTATTTAGAACCTCCTTGAAAATGGTTCTATATAGCACCAGAAAGGGTTCTGCTTTTGATACAAGCCTGGCATTGTAACAATAATAGAATCTTTTTTAGTGCTATATGCAACCATATACAACATATTCTCCATCAACCTAAAGAACCATTTCACCATGCAAAGAACCATTTCATCATGAAGTGATTCTATATAGAACTCATGGTGAAGAACCATCTTTTTAAGTGTGCAGTACAGTGATTTTTATTCAGTGTTTTATATATTGCACTACTTATTTTTCTTGTATTTTTTTCTCAGAAGTCTACTTATGACATTTTTGTGGTTTTTAAGTATCAAAAACTGCCAGAATTCATTTTTACATGACCGTTTTCCAAACTCTCACTATCCCTTATAATTAAACAAGTTGTGTGTTACTGTGCCTTTAAACCTGATAGATGTAAATGAGCTCTCTTCTGATTGGCTGTTCTTTATTGTGCCTCATTCAAAAAGAACTCCAGGCTGAGAAACACCTTATAGCTTCAGTGTAGATAAGCGGAGCTAAACTGCTGTAGGCTGAAATGGAGGATAGGTGTGCTTGTGTTGGCTTTCATGACATCATAGAAAAACTGATTTCAAAACAGGCTTTTTTTGCCCACCCCTACCTTGACTGATAAAGGCATTCTTTTATTGAACCTCTCAAGACATTTGTCACGTAATGAGTATTTACAGTATTTCCTCTTACTCGTTTAGAAGGAATGCACCAATGAGCATCAGATGGAATGAACACATTCCTTAAAGTATCCCCCTTTTTACTTGCCTAAACCCAGAACCAGTTTATTGTAGAATAAGTAAACGCACTGTTCTATGGTAATAGGAGTAGGACTAATGCTCAAAGTCAAAGAGCAAATATTGAGTATTTCAACAGCCATGTTAAAATCTACATCACACATTTGGTTAAGAGTATTGAAAGTTAGGGATGCACAATTGGAATTGGCCAAGCTCAGAAGCAGCAAATTTTTGTTCAAGGCACAAAATCAGCAATCGGCCAATGTATTGCTTTTACCTCTGCCAGTCTGTGTTGCAGTTGATTCATTGTGCCAAACAGCAAGTTGAATTACTTTCAATGCAGCACTGTCTTTAAATTCATGTTATTAAAAAGACAACTGATTTAAAACGGAAAACTTTAAAATGGCAGTTTGACCCACTGAAGAGCAACAAAATGTTGTTTATATTTCAAGTTTGGCTAATAAAAGTGCTATAAAATATACTAGTGTATTTCATGTGTTCATTTACTCCACACAAGATCAGAGAAAAAAAAAGGTCAAAGTACATAAAAAATGAGGCAAAAAAATCACCCATCGGCCAATTTGGCTGTAAAGAAATCAGAATCAACTCATGATCGGTGCACCCCTGTTGAAAATGGGAGCAGATGGGTTAAAAAGGCCTGTTTTGATGTGTAAATCAAACTCATCCATCCGTTACTCCTCATTCCTGAGCCACACCTGGACCGCACATGCCTGAATGTGTTGTCTCCTGCGTGGTTCATGGGGATTCTTGATTGATTTTGGCAGGTCTGAATAAAAGAATCCTCAGCTTGCAATACTCGATGAAACTTTGGAGAAATGGTCCGTTTCGTGAATGTTTTGCTTTGGCGGAAGACCAATGCAGAAGATTCACCTGAAAACATCCAACATGTATTCATTTGAGTTCTGAACATCGTTTGCTGTGTGGCTTGTATTGTTGCTTTGATCCAAGGCTATCAGGGCCTGTTAAAGACTACTAGAGGCTTAGGTCAATGCGTGACGGGATTAGCAACACTGTGCAAACAGCATGAGAAGAATAACAGTCAGATAATCAGTGGTGTCATGACTCATGTTGAGATGATTAGATCACTCTCTAGAGTGATCAGTTTAGTATCTGATTATATCTCCAGTATTTGACATTGGTAGAAGAGTGCTGTGATTCTGCTAGTCAAGTCAACTGCTAGTCAGACAAGTTCAGTTTCCAATCTAATGGACCTGAAGTTTAACCCCAGGTTATTTTTTTTTTCATATGCTAAAGCATAATATAAGGTATTGCCAGGTTTAGAATTCTCACCACTTAATTACAGCTGCAGATTAGGTGTTGACTCTTGAGGTATTTTTAGCCCAAGGCTGTAGAACATATGGTGCCCAAACAGAAGGTGCCCAAGCAAGTTGAAACCTGACACTATGCTTTTCAAAAATCATTTTTCCCAAACCGGAGCCTATGTAGTAGGACTTACCTTTGCAGTGCTGAGCAGTGCTTTTATCAGGGCCACAACTCAGTGACCTTAATTCGCTACTATGTAATCTGAGAAAGGAAGAAAATCTATATTAATATATAATCTAATATGACTCATATATTAAATCTCGGAGTCTGACATAGAGAGTTCAAGGATCAGTGGTGCTTCATTTGAGCTCTTGTCTGCGGAATGCCAGATGTTGCTGTGTTGTAGAGCCAACAGACAGATTAAAAGCGATTGGCCTTAATCATCTACCTTGGATCGGTTTTTCCTGAACAGCTGTAGAAACAAGGATTAGCGCAACCAATAAGTTAGCAGACTTGGAAACTAAAGACTTGTTTGCTGCAGTGAGTGTTTGTAAGGGTCTCCTTTAGGATGCTGCTTTCACTTTGTAGTCAAGAGTCCTTCAGAAACATATTAGTGTCCACTTCTTCCAAACTGGAGAAGATGAAGCTAGCATTTAGTAGTGGGCAGTATACTGGTTAAAATTCTTCCTTGATTTTGTTGTAACTGCTATACTGCTGCAAATAAGCACAAATAATGCAATGTACAAAAAGTGCACACTCTGCTAAACTGTTATCCCGTTTAGCTGAATGGCTGAGTCAGGGATGGGATCTTTCAGTCTTTTGGAGTTAGCATTGGCCTAACATGGATGGTAGACTGTTTGCTGCACTTTCACTCGTACCACCTGAGGCTCTGCCTCACTCAGTCACCTTTTATTAGACGCCACTGTCTTGGGGCTGTGTGCACAAAACAAGCCGAGAATGGAGCTGATACTAATAGCATGAGTGTATTGGACGCATATATGACACAGATGAAATTTGAAAGTTGGCTTATTATGCAAATTTCCTGTTCCAACTTAAATGGTGCAGCAGTTACATTAAGGCACCTGCACAGGTGCCAGAATTTTGCATAAAAATATTTCAGATTTAACTTAAAATGTGAAGGGAAATCTCAGAAAAATAAGTCACTGTTGTCCTTCAAAAATAGGCTTAGTTAAGTATCTAAAACTTACAGTTCCTCTCTTTTTTTTTTTGGTGAGCCTGCTAACGTTTACAACCATATCATTATTTTTATTGGTCCACCTTTTCAGCCTTCAGCAGTTTAGCTCTGCCCACTCACACTGAAGTTATATGGACCATTTCAGGCTGGACTGCTTTTTGTAGAGGCACTGTAGAGGGCAGCCGATCGGTACAGAGCTCATTTGCATATATCAGTCTTAAAGCACAGTTGACATTATAACAAATCTACACAAATGTGAACCTCAGAGGAAGAATAAAGTGCAAGAAAAATTTAGGATATGGGACCTTTTAAAGACTCTGAAAGAGAGAAAGGAAGTTCAAACATATGACCTCTCCTTCATTATACAAGCCCAACTCGAAAGATAAACTGCCGCTGAGCTGGTATTCATATTCTGTAAGGAATGCTTATAGTATCAGTATGATGTGATTAAGTAAAACATCCATTTGTGAAGATGTAGAGACTTAGGAGTGGTTGATTAGTTTAAAGAAGAGGTTAAATTGATGATGAGATGATGATAAACAGATGACGTCTCTGTGCTTATCTTTTCCTTTGTGATTATTTCTTAGAATTGTGGAGTAAACCCTTTTTACTGCTGCATGCTGGGTCAATAGTGGTGTTGTTCTGATGCTACCCCACCTGGTTAGTCTGGCTAGAAATCCTCTCAGAGCGAACAGTGGGGGCTGCCAGTTTACAATCTCTCAATCTGGTGTAATCTCTCTCTTTGTTAATCTCAAACGCAGGAGCTGGTGGATTTATTGAGATTGTAGTGCGGCTGTTTTTCCAGTAGTAGTGTTTGGACAGAAACGCATTCAGAGAGAGTTTGCTCAGATATAGGCCAAGGCCAGTGCTGGATTCAAAGCATCTTAGGAATAAGAATGCTGGTGTAGGATTTTCATGACTGTGATATCCATAATGTGACTGTACATCAGCTTGTATTGGCACAGTGACACAGATGAAATTCAGTATCGCAAGATATTCCAAATATTTCATGCTATCAGATGCATCAAAAGGTTAACGAAATCATCAGCACTGATTTTCTGTGCTAAAAGCATCTCCCAGCGTAACTGGTTTAACAGAATTGACTATTTGTTTTTGTCCTTCAGAGTTGTCTCACTACAGTGCCCAGCATGCATTACAAATCCTGACTGCTTGCACCTCGCCCTATGGCCTTACTATGATGTTTGTGGTTTTATATACACAACAAAAACTGTCACAGTGCAGGGTGAAGCACTCCTTATAGCTGCAGTGTGAATGGACAAGGCTAAACTGCTTCAGGCTGAATGAGGGATGTATGTAACTTCCAACATGTAATATGTAAGGACGACCAGTGAAGCTGACGACCAAATCGGGCTTTAAACAGAATAAAATCGCACGTTAGGCATGTTTACAACCGATGTAGCGATAGCTACGTTTTTTGTTTTAAACATAGCTTGTTTATGATTTTACTATTTTACTTCTCTTAAAATTAGATCAAAGGGAACCTTACACAGTGTGATAAATGTGACCAGACAGTTACCACATTTTCAGAAACATAACTTACTGATCTATTAAATTATTTACCTATATATTGTTTGTTTTGTGAAATGCAGCTTTGTTGTGTGGCACCAATACAAGTATACTGGCACTAGCATCAGCACTTTGATTGTGAGTTCGCTGTTCATGGTAATGCATTATGATATTGAAGTCATATCAGTATTGGCATGTAATAGCTTCAAAAAAAATTTAAAATAAGAGGGTTCGTTTGGCGGATATTTCAGACATACATTATGTATTTATTGTACTCAGGAAGAGCAGAACAATTAAGCAATGCTGGGTTACTGTGCTAAAATATCTCAATTTAATTAATGTTACTATTTATTTGTATTCCTGAACAAATAAATATTATATTTCTCCAAAATGCATTCATGGATTTAGTACCAATTTCAACATTTATTAAAAGCGTATCAGCATCAGAAGATATGTACATGAACAGTATTGGATATTTGCCCACAGTTCCTATATATGTGTATCCATAGTCCCATCTCCTTTGGAAAAAGCATGTTCATGTCCACAACAGGGCTTAATCTGTGAGGAAGGAAAGAGGGTCCAACAGCCCTCATCTTAAAGAAGGTAGTGTGTCTTAATCCAGCAAGATCAATTGATTTTCATAGAGTCACTGGCAGGTTTGTTGAGGCCAGTGTAATGTAATAAGAGGCTGATATCTGGCTGCTGTGTTTGTGAAATTCTGTTTAAAAGATCATTAATGTTTTAAACCCGTGATATTTCAGTTAAAACAAGCTGCCTGTACACTATATAGGGTTCTATAGTACCAGAAAGGGTTCTTTGGCTTGTAGCAATAGTGGAACCCTTTCTGGTGGGTTCTGTATACCATCATTCTCCATCATTCTGAAAAACACCTTCACGAAGCAAAGACCCCTTTAATCATACAAAGAGTTTTTTTAAGTGTTAATGATTTTATATAGAACCATTTTCTTTACTATAGAACCCTTGAAGGAACATGTTTTTTTTTAAGAATGTACGTCATTTTCTTTTTGTCTCTTCTAGTTTCTAATTTGACAAACAGGTTTTTTTTCTTACGATGCTCTCTGTACATCCTTCAGCTTCATCATCATTCCCTCAATATTTCTCTTTCTCACCCTCCAAAGTGTTTCTATTCATTACACATGAGCTCTTTTCCCTCAAACTCTTTCTGGGTCATAAAAACCACTCATAAATTCTTTTTCCTCTTTCACCTCATTCTCTCCTCCTCCTCCCTTCTTTTCTCCCTCCTCCTTTCACACTGTCACACTCCCTTGGCCCTCCTTTTTTCTTTGTTTTCACTTACTCTTCTCAATTCTTCTCTCCTTTTCTTAACATCTCTACCGCCTCCTTCTAACACACACTCTCTTTTTGTCTCTCTCTCTCTCTCTCTCTCTCTCTCTCTCTCTCTCTCTCTCTCTCTCTCTCTCTCTCTCTCTCTCTCTGTCTTTCTGTGAGAACAGTGGTCTCAGTGTGAGTGTTGGGGGGGTTTAGAAGTGGACATGTCTTGCTGTGAGGTTCATGGTGTGGTGTGTCCTGCTCTGTGCATCAGTGAGTGTCAGTGTTTTTATTTCTCCCGAGGGCTCTGGTTTCTGTGTCTTCACTCTCCGATGGTTCAGGTGTGTGCTACTGTGACACAGATCCACTCCGGTAAAAGCCTTTGCTCAGCTGCTCACCCGTCTGCTCAAAGTGAAACGTTCGTCCTGCCAAAGCTGTTTGTGTCCCACAGTTGCCAAGTGAGGCCCAGCCTGCAATCACAGGAAAAAAGAGGTCTTGTACCAAACTGTTTACCATTTACACAGTGAAGAGAAAGGAGAGAATGAAGGACACACAAACGTGTTTGGGGGTGAAGGTAAAATTTAAATGAGAGACGCTGTTTTCTGATTCACAAACGGGCCTTACTTCAAATAGTGTGTGTAGTCTGTCTCCATGTGAGAAACTGAGAGACTGAGTGTGTGTTTGTGTTCGGGGGGTGGTGGTATGTTTGTGTTGTGGAATGTGCTTGGGAGAGAGAGAGAGAGAGAGAGTGTGTGTGTGTGTGTGTGTGCGCGTGTGTGTGTGGTGTCTGTGAACAGCAGCTCTTTGTGGATGCAGGAAGTGTGTTTGGGGGCAGTGTGTGTGTTGGTGGGGGGTGGAGGGGGGGTCAGTGGGGATCCTCTGAGACAGGACCAGAAAGACTCATGGGAAAGCAACAATATGGCTACAAACCAAAACAGTGTACAGGCAGAGGGGCTTTTGGAGCAATTTCACTTTTTTTCTTGCTTTTGTTTTTATTTCTGCATAATTCAGTGGTTGAGATGTAAACAAAGTCATTTAGAGTGGTTTGATTTGAAATGGTTCATTGTAGACAAACTTACTGACTCAGATTTCTTTACAGTGGTTCTGATAGGAAACAGGTGTCTCAATGTCTACAACACAAATACAGCCTTTTAATCCAAAACCTCCAGTAAATGTACACATCATCTGAGTTTTTGTACGTTTTTTTATATGTTGTATATTTATATGGCGATGGTAAAATAGTGATACATCTGAAAATAATAGTTTCTTTTGGTACTATTTAGCCTTCCCTCTTTCCTCCTCTCTAGAAACAGATTCTGGAAAACTTGTCAGAAACATTTGTTTAATGAGAGAAACAATACGTAGGTTCCTTTGAATGCTCAAAATGGCATATAATGACAGAAAATCAAAAATGTTCATTGTTAAACCATTTCCTTTTCATTTTGAAACTGTGTGATGACAGCATTTAAGTCTAAAAGTAGCTGGCTGGGTTTATTTTTGACTGTAATTTGGTTACATATTATGCTTGTGAAGTGATCTGAAGTGAATATGTTCTGATTAAGCACACTTTTCTGATTTAGCACTGAAATAATTTCAGTAATACTGGTTGGTAAGATGAAAATAATATGCCATGACGCAAAAACTACAAAACAAAAAATCTTTTTTACTGAACAAATAGCAAAAAAAAACAATCTGAATTAAAAATCTGATAAATCAACCACTTTAACAATCTATAAAAGTAATGTGAAGCCTCTTTTGTGTAAATATGTACAAGTCTGTGACCATTTTTTTCAACAGTAAAGTAAATGTTTTTGTGTTTTAATGAAAAATTATATGATTTTATCTTTGTCCAGCTGTTCAATGCTAGTCATGTACCGGCAAGTGTTTTTGAATTATGCTTAAAATTAGCTCAAATTTTAACTACTGAAATAGTCACTACTGAAACATTTGGTGACACTCACTCAAACATCAGACATGCTTCCATTGAACACAGGTTGCGCCATAAGAGATGGTTACATACAACCTGGACCATCTAGACCTGTGGTCCTCAACCCTGGTCTTGGAGTATACCTGCCCTGCATAGTTTAGTGATTTCCCAGCTTTAACACACCAACTAATTAACTCATTATCAAATACATGTAGGTGTGCTAGACCTGTGAAATGCACCGGACAGGGGACCAGGATTGGGAACCACTATTACAGATAAAAATGCTCAAACATCAAATCTTTAGGAGTCTATCTTTGTTTTGTTGTGTTGCAGCCTGTCTGGATTTTTCAGACAGCCTCAGTTTATTTTGCATTCTTTACATTCCACAAACACATTTTCCCCCCTCTTTGCTGTGTTCCTCAGGCAGTCGGCCCACGGTGCAGTACCTGTCCTCTCTGTGTGAGCTGCCTCAGGCCCTGCAGCCCTACTACACTCAGGGCTATGTGCTGGCCGCCCTGCATCCCATCATCCTCTCTGTGGGCCGCACACGCTCACTGCCATGCAGCCTGCTGTACCGTGCCATCCTGGCCAGGCCACGACCAAGGTAACCTTTCACAAATGCTTCTCCTGTGAGTCTCAACATACTCAACTATCATTCAACGTTTCTCCATCTTTCAATCCAAGATTGAGAGCTATGCCACTAATGTGATCAACTGATCAACTGCAGTTCTATTTTTACTGCTTCGAGTTTATACTTCTGTCTGTCTGCTTATCCATTAGGGCCGACTGATATGAAAATTCTGTAGTCAATATCTATTTTACGGGGGTCAACAGTCTTGATAACTGATATTGTCAGTTTATATATATATATATATATATTTTGGATTTTAACCCAATTTTCTCCCCAATTTAGTCGTCTCCAATTCCACCCGCTAGTTAGGACTCCCCCAATCACACGATGCTATCAACGCTAGGAGGGTGAAGGCTAACACAGGCTTCCTCCGAGACCTGTGAAGCGCCACCGCTTCTTTTCGAACTGCCGCTCACGCAACGTCACTGGACAGCCGAACGCGCTCGGAGGAAAGCGCCAACCGCCAGATCTGTTACGTCAGCTAACAGACGCCTGCACTGACTAGCATCGCGTTGAGTGAAGGGGGAGAAGGGGGGGGCCATCCGACCCACCCAGAGAGCGAGGCCAATTGTGCTCTCTTGGACTCCCGGCTATGGATGGGTGTAGTATCACCTGGGATCGAACTCATGATCTCCTGATGATAGGGCCAACGCTTAGACGGTTGCGCCACTCGGGAGCCCGTAGGATGAAGCAATCTGAACCAAAAAAATACGCTACATACCTTGATGAATGTGTAATCAATTGCATTACATGTGATGCTGAAAGTGATCTCCGTTTTCTTCCAGACACATTTTAACGCGGCACTCCATGTTCCTGAACGCAAGCGGAGGTTAAACGTTGCGACAGCTGTCCGGCGCCAACCTCATCACACGTTCAAATTGCTTCGTCCTAACGAGAGTTATTACAGAATATTCGGGGCCCCTTTCGAGTGAATCTCCCTGTATATTCTAGTTGTAGTTTTTGGTTTTACTTGGAGCTACACTATGTAAGTTTTGGGGATTTGGAGACCTCTCTGGTGGAAATGTGTTATTACACACAATGTGCAGAAGAGTGTTTTGTAACATCGGTTGTGCTTCGGGCCCCCACAAGTGTATAAATCTGATGATTGTGAGCGCATTGAGTAAGAGTATTCAAAGAGAACTCAGTCAAAACTTGGCGAAGGACGTCTTTTGAGGCTGTAAGTGTCATCATATCTTCCTCACCATAATGTTGATTTTGCGTTTAAGACCAAAACATCGAGCCAGACCTTCTTTTTAAACCTGTGCGTGTGATGTTAACGTGTGAAGACGTATGACGTGGTCCAAAAAACTCCTGTGAAATCTGACGCAATGCCTTTGACTTCAAATGTATTTAAGGCTTTGTAGAGGGTCTCGCAGCAGCGCATGCACACCATAGTGTATCGTCATTTCTTTTCTTTCTTCTTACAGTTTTAACAAAAATCTTACATAGTGCTTTTTTAAACAATGCTTTACTTTTTGCCACATTATCTGCAATATTTTTGGCCGATACCAATGATGCTATCTGTCCTTCCTTCTGTCTCGTATGCATGTGTTCATTAGGGGGGCTGTCTGTCACAATCATGAAATTTTAGCTGCCGTAAATATTTATGATTAACAAAAAAGGAATTATATCGTTAATTTTATGCAACATGTTAAAGAAGAAGTCTAAAGTGGCCAGGTTGGCTGATTAGCTACCTTGCTTCCCGGCTGTCAGTACATAGTGGTTCCCAGCTGATGACAGAAACATCTCAAGCTCAAATAAACAAGAATTACCTGCCTTCTAACGATGTTACAGCACCACTCAGAAGTTAGAACGTTTGTATTAAATTATGAGGTGCAGCTCGTGATTGCCATCATGAACTACTTGGTAGTACCCAGTCCTACCCTGATCCTGTATCCAAGGCAGAATAGGGAGGGTGGTCCCAGCCTGCCCACACCAAAGTAAATAATGAATTATTAATAAGATGGTTTGCATATTTAAACAGGCGCTTACCAAGAAGTCAGACAGACATGCAGGAGGAGGAGGTGGGGCTGGGGTAGCAGGCTGTAGACCACGCTAGAGGTGCAGACACAAGTTATCCCTGACAACAAAGTAGGAGCAGGAGCCAATCACATAAAGTGGAGCAGTTTCAGATAAATGGGAATGGCTGCCAGGGTGTGACGTGGTGGATATTGTTGCATAATTAAAAAAGGAAATGTATTCAGCCACAGACTAGACCTAGAGAGTTGTTGTTATGTGCAGGTCATTCTGTATGTAGAAAACACTTGGTAGTGTCATGCAAACCTTTGGGTGTTGTATCAGTGTTGTGTGCGAACATGCAGACCATAACAAACCAAATACAAATGCAACTCTTATTGCATATTTTTATATAATAATTCATTTAACTAAATTAAATAATATAATGTAAATTCATTGTGAAGAGGTACATGAATGGCATTGTGAGGCAAACTAGTCCTCAAAGAAACTGTATTTTTTTTTTCAGATTTATTACCAATATTAACGTTACATATAAAAACTACAGAATCTACAGAATGATATACAGAAGATGTGTAGGTTCAGTGGTTGTTTTGAATAGTGAATAATATGGCTGTATTTGTACTGTAGGTATCACAACCCCTGGTTTCTGTCACGACCACTCTGATCTTTATTTATGTCTTAAACACTAAATTATGCAGAAAATTTGAAAAATTTGGTGGAATTCCAGTTTCCTAGAATTGCAGTTAGTTATATTGTGCTTTGTTGACTGATGTGATTCAGTTGTTAGCTGAATTATCAAATATGATTGGATTGTTGGTTGGTGTCTGTTAATTAGCTTTTATATTTATTTTTTATAATTTCTGTTCATAGCCATTTTTATTATAGCACATTTTTAACCTTCAATCTGTTAAAATAATAACACTACACTACATCTTGTTTCGAGGGCAGCTTTTTACTTTGCTGTTTGCTTCTCGTTGATTTGTCCATAGTTCTCCAGTGATACCTGTGCAGTATAGTCAGCTGAAGGCATTGTCCGGTGCTTTGTTACTGACATTTACTGATATTGCCAACATTTAACATGTTTATTTGTTATTTTAACCGTAATAAAGACATTTTTGCTGGTACTGATAAAACTAAAGGATATGAAATTGTGCCAATATTTAACTTACTTAAAACAGCAACATTTGACATGAGACCCAGTGCAAACTAGGATTCTCGTGTGTGTTGTAGTAAGCATGCTGTAGCCATGGTCCACAGTGTACCAGTGCTGAGGGTGGAGGAGTGGCCACTGCCTGGAGATTCCCTGACCAGTGACACTGTGAGAGCTCTCGTGGACCGGGTTAGTGTCCTCTCACTGTACATCACCTTACATGGACACCTTTAATGTGCTAGGTTTGATATGTTTTAGATCAGATTGACTTTATTGTCCACCTTATGTGTATGTACAGAATATCTTACATAAAACATTTTAATGAGCATAAACAACATACAGCACAGTAGACAGTGCGGTATAGGTGAGACAGGGAGACAAATTAAATGCCTAAAAAATGTCCCACCCTAAAAAAACGTGTGTGCCGCTTGAATAGCCTATGGGACAAAAGACTTTAAATATATCTGTTGGCTCTTGGGACTGTTGACCAGCAGGAAGCAGCTGAAACTCTGAGTAAAGAGGCTGAGACGGATCTTTTAATTATGTGCCGTCCTGAGCTTATTGCTGTCGAAAGTTTCACTGTTTTCTGAGCTATTTCCATGGCCTTCGAAACACCTTTTTCCTTTCAAAGTAAACTATTTTACACTTGTTGTCATGTCAAAAATATAAACTACTTACTTTCTGTACTGCATATTACTTTTCAAAAGATATTCCCAATTCCAAAAAAGTTGGGACAGTATGTGATATTAAAATCTGCTAATAAAAACAGAAAGCAGTGATTAGTAAAAATTTAGTAGCAATTACTAAACATTTGGGGACTGAAGAAACCAATTGATCCAGTTTTGAAAGTGTCATTTTTGCCATTCTTCTGTTATATAATTCTTCAGCTGTGCAACCCATACAAGGCCTTTGCTATCGTCATTTGTGCCGAATAAGACGTGTTTTCATTGGGAGACAGGTCTGGACTGCAGGCAGGCCAGTCTAGCAACCACACTCTAACACAACTATGCTGTTTTAACACGTGTAGACATTTTCTTGGCTTGGTCATGTTGAAATAAGCATGGATGTCCCTGAAAAAGACATCATCTAAAAGGCAGCATATGTTGCTGCAAAATACATTCAGCATTAATGGTGCTTTCAGAGATGTGCAGGTTACCCACTAGTAATCCCCCATACCATGACAGTTACTGGCTTTTGAACTTTACGCTGGTAACAATCTGGATGGTTCTTTTCTTCTTTGACCTGGAGAAAACACCATCCATTATTTCCATAAACAATCTGATGTGGAAGGTGGACACAACACATTTTCATTTTAGATTAGCCCAGAGAAGTCTGGATGATGTTGAGATACGGCATGCCAGTTTTTAATGCTGATATGATAATATTATGCACTGTAGAGTGTGAAATTCCTAAAGTCCTTGCAGTTGTTCACTGAGGAATGCTGTTTTTAAACTATTGGATTTTTTGCTGGTGCATTTTTGCCAAAGTGGTGAATGTTAGCCCATCCTTGCTCATAAAGGTCTAGGCTTTCCTGGATGCTTCCTGTCCAAGCATGATTGCATCACCTGTTTATGATATTTTTTGGATGTTTCACTTGTTCCCTTAAATTGCTCCTGTCCCAACTTCTTTGGAACATTATGCACACATCATTTTCAGAATGTAGAAAGAACAATGAAGAGAAATTTAAAACATTATATATCTTGTCTTTGTACTGTTTTTGTTCAAATACAGCCAAAAGTACATTTATAAGTCACCGCTTTGTTTTTAATTGCATTTTCCCTACTGTCCCAAGTTTTTTGGAATTAGGTTTGTACTACATATTACTCATATCTCTGAGTGTGTGAACTAAAACAGTCCCCTACTCCAACATGAACATTGTTATTGTTGTCCCTGGTAAGATTAGTAGGTATATTTCTTTGCTAAATGACTGCTTGCTTAAGCTGAAAAACACTGTTTGTGCGTAGGTGAACAGCATTGCTCGGGGAGGTGTGCGGTTTGTGGGTTCAGTGCTTCAGCAGGCTGGAGGAGGAGGAGGAGGAGGAGGAGTATGTAATGGCAGGATGGCGAGTCCAAGACGAGGCTGCCGCTCCCCACCACACACCCCACCAGGAGACCGAGAGGTGGAGGATGGAGGCTACAGCCCAGGTCACATTCTACTCATGGCTCCATACTGTCAATATCATTTCATTCATTCATCTCAGTATGTTACAAGTGAGAATAAGCTTCTAGCCCAGCTCTCCACAAGTATATGCACATGGACATTTTGGACATTTGCTTGTCATGCCCCAAACTTGAGAGGCTCAAAGGGGCATTTTGGCCTAGAACTTTAATTTACTGTCGTTTGACATGTAATATTCTGTAGCGCAGCATTGCACCCCTCAGCTTCATTGGTTTGACACAGTTCACAAATTTGTATCCTTTTGTTGTTTTTGTCCATCACTGTAATACAAAGCATTCTGTCTGGCTTCCCTCAGCATTAGCCAGCAAATTAGCGAGAGAAAAAAAAAACACATTTCAAGATTTTACTTTCAAGGTACATCATCAGTATAGGGGTTTACTTGTTAAACCAGAAAATCACACTGAAGTCTGTTGTGGGACCACTATAGGATGTGAGTAACATATTTACAACAAATGAAGCATGGTTAATTTTTTTCTTCTTCTTTTTTTTTGATAGCATACATGCAAAATTGTCATCTTTAGGCAAAATCTTTCATTTTGAAAGCTGAACTCTCCGTTTGCATGAATCATGTAGATTTGACCAGTTCTCTCTTTTTTCGTTAGCGGAAAAGTTGGGTTCTTTTTTTCTCTTATTCAGGTTTTTTCTTCAGTAGTTTTCAAACAGTGGGCAAGAAGTAGTGCGCCATTATGGGGCCAGTACTAATTTGATGGGGAGAACAAATAAATCTTGAATAAATGCTTCTTTGAGTGTCTCTATACTTTAAGAAACTCCTTTTTTTTTATTTCTATAGTTTGTTTTATAGAAGTCAAAAGGCATCGGAATCTTTAGTGAAGTCAGTGAAAATGACTGACATGGCGCCAAAATCACAGAGAAACGCCAGTGAAATTTACATTACCCCACTTCCTCGTGTACAACTCTTCCTGTCCGAATAGGGCTTAAGGCTATAAACGTCCATAATTGTTAATGATAAAAAAGGCACGGTATCGTCAAAATATCATGCAGACCACAGTTCTAGAACTTGGGTTGTATCACTTTTTTAAAAGAAAGTTAATCTGATGCAAATCTATGGCAGTCAACAGTAAAGAGGCATATGCATACTAGAGTCAAACATTCGTCCTGCTCACACATGCATACTATTGACCGAGCATTAAGTGGTATTCTCGCGTGCAGCTAATCAGTGGTAAGCCTGATATCCTGTATTTTTATCCTGGTCCTACTGTTTTATCCCCTCACCCTTTGTGAACTCATTCTGTCCAGCCCCTCCCTGGAGTGTCACATCAGTTCACTGTAACCCTCTCCTTTCTGCACCCTCTCCTCTCTGCACCCTTTGCATGGCAACACAGTTGGCTCAGCCTCAGGGCTCCTCGCTCTTACACGCCACTCTTTGCTGGACGACACAGAAGATTAATTCCAGTCAGAGGTTGTGGGTGTTCTGACCTGTTAGGATGTGCTCCACACCTGCCCCTCTCAGCCTCTCAATGAGGAACTTCTTAGAAATTATTTTTAACCACACTTATTTATTTTTTACTTTTGTGTAGTCTTATGGATATATAAAAAAATGTCATATGCTCTCTATTGTAAGTACCAAATTTCTTGGGCTGGCTGGGTTATTGTTTTGTTTTTTTGTTTTCTGCAAGTTGAGGTGCTGGAAATCTACATGAAACTCAACTGCATGATGGAAGGTGTCCTGCAACATATTCAAAAACCTGCACATCTCAGCATCTCAAGATTGTGAATTAATTTTCATGAATTAGCCAATCAAAACATTGATAATGCCTCACATGGCGACCTCAAACAACATACTTATAAACCATGGATTTCAGTGCATAAGAAAATTAAACCAACTCAACATTTTTTTTTTTTTAATGGTTTCCTCAACCATGACAACAAATGTCAGTTTCTCAAAGCTAACGCTTTTGTTACCAGCTGTGTTAACCAGCCAGCTAACACTAAAAGCTGTTTAAACAACTGCCTGTGCCACCCTTTATTCTTCTTCAGCCTGCTACTGAAATAATTTACATAGCTAGATTAATTTTCTCCTCTCTTGATGCCTGCTAAATGTACACAGAGCTCAGATTCATTTGGAATCCAAAAGATGAAAATTATTACATAAGTGGAGATAAATTAACTTTACGTTAACTAAACATTAATTTTAAACATACACACGACAGATAAAAACTCACAGATATAGTAAAGAACTCTAGATAGATGTATGATGGATATATAGATATAGAAAAAATGTCAAAGACAGCAGTAAAAAATATATGTAACTATGATAAAAAATACTGCAAATATGTAAATTTCACCTCATGGATGACTTTATCATGAGAATGATACTCCAGCTGTTAATGTGGTTACCAGAATGTGTTACATGCAACTTTTTGAATCACTGTCAAGTTGTGCAGAAATTGTTGCAGGAAACTAACATCCAACTAGTTGCATGAAAGTTTCTTTGTGTAAAGTATGTAAAGTATCCAACGTGAACTTCATTAAACTTTGCACATTGTATGTGTTAATAGTACTATATATTATAATCCTTCTTGGCTGTGATCCAGAAAAAAAGGAAGGTAGTTAACTTACAGTGTATCAGTGGTGTATATGAAGCAAACAATTCAAAACCGCACCAAACATACCCTACATGAGAACCCAGTCTTGTTTTTTTTCCCAAGGGGCTGTCAACTTATTTCCCAGAAAAAGTTAAGGTTCATGAAATGATTGGAATATGCAGTGCAGGGCTTATGGAACATGATTGCTTGGCCACCATCGCCTACTCTAAACAAACTATCTTGTGGCGGAAGAATGCTTTGTTTCAGTTATTATTGCTAATAATGAAATTATTTATGAAAAATTATTATTATAATGTATGTTGTCGTTTTTTATAATATCAACAATTCACTGTTGTTTGTTAGTGATTTTGCTTCAAGTTATTCCCAAACAACATCTCTTACTCGGGGTAAAACGTTGTCACATGTCATCTCTCATGGCTCATTGCTTGAACCACCAATTATAACACTGATGTATGCACTTAATTTTTGACTAATTAGTAATTCCATTCACATTTGTATATCCAGCATTTAAGACAATCAAACTGAATCAAATTGTGGTGAGATTTCATGATACATTGAGGTCAGAGATTTACTCCCCTTCTGTGTTGCTGTTTTTGCTTTTGCATCTTCAGATCTGAGGCTTCTGGTGCTGTTCCACTCTTGGGCTCCGGGCTGCGCTCCACTGGACACTCTGGCCTGCTGCTACCACCAGGGGGCGCTGTCTATGCGCGTGTCCAGGAAGGGCCAAGTTGTTAGCGGTCTGGAGGCTGATTGGCTGGAGCTGACTGCAGCCTACTACCGCAAGGGCTGGTCATTAGTGGACTCGTTTGTGTACTGGGACACACCCAAAGGTGAGTGTCTAACCTAGCCTGCTATAACACCATCATTAGGGGAATTCCAGAACTTTTCTCTGTTAGCCTCAGTTGTTTGACCCTAAAATGAGGTTAAGAAACCAAACAGGAGAATGAACTGGGAAAGGAAGAGCACAGCATCCTCCAAGCTTTCTTCCTAAGGAAGAGGAAGCGATTAAAGAACACTTCATTCCTGTCCTGCAAACTCTGTTTTGAAGCGTGTTCTGCGTCATGTGCTCCATGTACTCGGTCGCTCCTTTCTCAAAAAAATCCAGAATTCCTTTCGCTCCTTTTTTTTTTCCTTCTTTTTACACCCCCCAAATTTATTACTCTTTCCAAAAAAAGTCTTCTGCTTCTGGTTTATGTCCTTTCTTTCCCTGTCTCGTCTGTCTTCTCCCACCACAGCTATATTTAGAGCTCACATCCGACCTCACGACCTCACTTCCTCTTTCACACCAGACTAATAACAGCTAAATCTGTGTGTGTGTGTGTGTGTGTGTGTGTGTGTGTGTGTGTGTGTGTGTGTGCGCATCTGGGGCCTGAGAATGTAGAACATGAAAGAGCACATACAAAACGATTTCTCTCTCTCTCTCTGTCCTTATTCTGGTTTTTGTCTCTCTCCTCACTCTCCCTTGCTCACCTCAATCTCTTTCTCTATCTCTATCTCTCTCCCCTCATTCTCTCCGCATTCTCTCTCCCCTCTGGTTTTTGTCTCTCTCTTTCTGTCTCTCTCTCATTCTCTCTCTCCTCACTCTGTCTCTATCTCTTGTCTCTCTCTCTCTCTCTCTCTCTCTCTCTCTCTCTCTCTTTCTTTCTTTCTTTCTTTCTTTCTTTCTTTCTTTCTTTCTCTCTCTCTCTCTCTCTCTCTCTCTCTCTCTCTCTCTCTCTCTCTCTCTCTCTCTCTCTCTCTCTCTCTCCCCTCAATCTGCCCCTTTCTTCTAAGTAGTTCAGTGTTGTCTTTAGTAGGTCACTGACACATTTTCAGCTCTGATTAAATGAAACCCAGTGAATGTTGCACTGTGTCAGATACATCACAGTTCACAGACTGGTTAACATTCATTTGACGTTTATTAAATGAATAAAGAGTTTTAATACGTGTTCTCTGTGTTATATTTGGATACTGAGAAGCTGATGTTTTATTACTCTGGTGTCAGAATGTGTTTTGTTCTATAGGTTTTCCTGAAGTTTACCTCCAGACTCATGTGTTAATCACTACTGGCAGTGATTTGGAAGTGTTATAGTTCCAAATATCAGACAAAGTAAATGGAGATTTGCTCTGTTTTTCCCAGGTGAGCCAGTGCCCAGATCTTTAGAGGGTCTGTTTGTTTATGAGGAGAGGAGCTCTGCACCTCCGGCCAACGACACCATCGTAGTGGAGCAGTGGACAGTTATTGAGGTCAGCGAAAAAACACTGGGCATCAGCATACACCAGTGGTTCCCAGTCTTGGTCCTGGAGTATGCATATACTACATGCTCTGGAGCTTTCCCTGCACTACGCTGATCCAACTAATCAACTAATTTACAAGCCCTTCCTCAGTAGTTTGAGTGTAAGGGCTTGGTGTGAAGTGGTCGAAGTGGGGAAAATACTAAAATGTATATTCCGGGTCCAAGGTTGGAAACCACTGTCGCAGACAATAAACCCCTATTAGTATATGCATGATGCATCTCAAACCATATACTGTCATGCTGAATGATATGTCAAAAATAGTACACTACCATTCACGGTGTGTTCATTAGTATAAAAAATAAAACTTTTTTTTTTATATCTCACAAATACAAATATGTTTGCAGTTATAGATTGCATGTATACTAAGAAAAAGGCCCAAAATGTGTGAATGTGGTTTTATTTAACAACTAGAACTGGGCTATTTAGCTCAAAACAAGCTCTTCCTGTATGTTTGAGTTAAGATGAAATGTTTATCTGAAAAACAAAAACAAAGTAAAAACAAAGTAAAAAATATTACTTGAATGTCTGTCACAAGCGTTCAGCTGCCATAAGTAGTATTAAAGCCAGAGTGGGAAAGTGAATGCTACACAGTTAGCTTGCATTGTTTGAACATGCATGTTGTGTCTGGACCTGTAGTGTTTAGTGTCATTATTAGTAGGTTATCTAATGACATGGATACAGTCATTGTGAGCTGAATGTATCTTTACACCTGTTTGATGGTTTTACTATATCTTTGTTTTAATATGTAATAGCATTTTCATTTTCCTAACAGTATCTTTTGTTTAGCTCCCCTCCCTTCAATGTTTGTGTATTTGTCACACTGTTGTTTCAGAGAACACAACCCCATTTCCAAAAATATACAACCCCATTTCCAAAAAAGTTGGGACGCTGTGCAAAATGTAAATAAAAACAAAATGCAATGATATGCAAATCATTTAAACCCTATATTTCATTGAAAATAGTACAAAGACATCATATCAAATGCTGAAACTGAGAATAAAACATATGCCCATTTTGAATTTGATGTCAACAACACGTTCCAAAAAAGTTGGGACGGGGGCAACAAAAGAAGCGTCCCAAAAGAAGCGTCCCAACTTTTTTGAAAATAGGGTTGTAATTTAAACATTTTAAACATCCATTCCTGACTGGCCCTGTGTGAAAAAAGTAATTGCCCCCTTAGGTACTCAATAAGTTAACTAAATTAAGTTAAATTAATTAAGATAATTGGGATCAATTAAGCAATACACACACAGGCTTGATTACTGCCAGCCCTGTTGAATCCTAACATCACTTAAACAGAACCTTTCCAGCAAAGTGAAGTAGGTTAAGATGTTCCAGAACAAATCAGAAAGAAATTTATTAAAATATATCAGCCTGGGAATTGTTACAAAGCAATCTCTAAGGCCCTGGAACTCCATAGAACTAAGGTGAGAGCCATGATCTGCAAAACTGAAAAACTTGGAACAGTGGTGAAGTGGCCGGCCTACCTAAAGTCCTCCAGGAGCACAGCGACTGGGCAAAAATGATATCCAAAGGAGTGCTGCAGGAACACCAGGTCTTTTGAAATAATGTTCTATGGACTAATGAGTCAAAAGTGGAACTTTTTGGAAGACATTGTTACATCTTGCATAAAGCTAACACAGCATTCCGACAGTGAAACATGGTGGTGGTAATGCAGTTGTGTGAGGACGCTTTACTGCTTTAGAGCCTGGGTCGTTTATCATAATTGACAAAGCGCAAGGAAACAAAATTAAGTCTTTGGAGTGATCTGCTCAAAGTCCTGACTTGAACCTCATTGAGGTGCTGTGGCAGGCCCTTAAACAGGCAGTTAATGCTCAGAAGTCCAATGTGGCTGAACAAGAATAAGAGTGGGCCAACGTTTGATGGCTCTCCTGTGACACAACCAGTTATTAGCTTTAGGGAGAAACTGGGACAAGAGGTGTGACAAAACCTCCTTCAATGAATGAAATCATCATTTAAAAACTTTTTGGTGTGTTTCCTCATGTTCTTGCCAATTTTGTATGAGGATCTGACACTACTTACTGTGACAAATACGCAGGAATAGAGGAAATCGGGAGGGAGGAGAAGTGGGTAGAGCGGCCTAAACACATACTCTGGTAAAAGTGCTAGTATTTAGGTACAAGAAAGAAAAATTGGGTCAAAAAACTAGTTAAGTACTGAAATTGTAGAACTGGAACTTCTTAGAATATGCAGAAACGATCAGCTTAGGACCTGAAGATTGTTATGCTCTATTCTTTCCTGTTATGGATTCTTTTGGTCTAAAATAAAATGCTAAAGCTCTAAAGTCAGAGATGTTACCAATCACAAAGCAGTGCATGTGTGTTCACCAACAAAACACAATGAAATTAAACACAAACAACGATACTTAGTGGACTAAATATGAACAAGTAAAAAGTCAGTTCCTTTACTCATTAACTCGAGTAGAAGTAAAGGTATTACGATTTACAAATACAAATCAATATTTTACCTTAATATACTTGAATTAAGCAATGAAGTAGTTACTACACACCTCTGGCAAGTAGTTTTTCTCAGCACTGTATTTTGTTTCCTTAACAGTATTTGAGTTGATTTAAAATGGCTGTAAAATCACTGTTTCACTGTTCCAGTGTGAAATCACTGAAAGTACAGTGTATGTGCCCGTGTGTGTTTCAGGGCTCTGATGTAAAGACGGATTATGGGCCACTCCTTCACACTCTGGCTGAGTTCGGCTGGTTACTGACATGTGTGCTGCCCACACCAATCATTCGTCATGACAGGTAAGACTTACACATACACACACCTCATGTTTGTTCGCTCTTGCTTGTGCGTCTCTGACTGTGGTTTCTTTGCAGTGAGGGAAATCTCGCCACCAAACAAGTGGTGTTCTTGCAGAGGCCTGTTAAATCCCAGTCACTGCGGCAACACAGTGAGGTAGGTTGAGGATTTCTGCTGAAATGGGACAGATTATAGTGTTACGCTTTCAAGACGCACTAGTGTTCAATTACATCTTGAACATTAAGACAATGGCCCACACTACCTGGCCCTAACCGATGCTGAAAATGTGAGAGACCCCTCACATAATGATGGATTCCACAAATCTTTTGTCTGTAGTCAGACACAGCAGTGCTGCTGGAGTTTTTGAACATGTTATTGCTGGACTGAGCATAGTCCACCAACCAAAATATCCAGCCAACAGCATCCTGTGACCGCTGATGAAGGACTAGAGGATGACTAACACAGCAGCAGATGAGCTACTGTCTTTGATTTTACATCTAGTGCACCACCAAGGCAGATGTGCCTAATAGAGTGGACAGTGAGTGGACACGGTGTTTAAGAACTCCAGCAGCACAGCTGTGTCTAATCCACTTGTACCAGCCCAACAAAAAAAGTTGTAAATATTGAACATGTGTAATGTTTACTATTCAAAATCAGGGCCAGTCATGACTGGAGTGTTGTGAGTGGATCAAGTAGGGTTAAGATTGGATTACACACACCCCTCACCACAGGATAATCTGTGAAGATAATCGTTTAAGACCTTCCTGAAATCAAATTAGAATCGTCCAGGCTATGGTCTTCCTGTGGTTCTTTATAGATGTGAAAGCTGGACAGTAAAAAATGGGTCAGAAGAAGTATTGATGCCTTTGAACTGTGTGTTGATGACTTTTGAGGGTAACTTGGGGGGCAAAGAAAACAAATGAATCCTTGACCAAATCAAGCCTCAACTATTACTTGAAGCCCAGATAACCAAATAAGATGTTCCTGGATGTATTATAAGAAGAACTTTGGAACATGTTCATTGGAAAAGACAGTTATGCTAAAAGATAGATGGACACAACCACAGCAATTGTGAACAAGCCATTGAGAAGCATAAAACCCAAAGAAGACAGGGTATTCTGGAGAAACTTGAGGTCGATAGGAGTGGTTAGTTTATATAAACTACAGCGTATTATAAAACATATACCTTCAATTTAAATATTATAATGCAAAATGCTTTAAACATTATTAAATGCTAAATAACATAAAACAAGAAATTATTAAATGATCATTTACACTTTTTACACGCTGTGTGAAGCCTATAATGTGCAACTTCATTACGAATGCTTTTATTCATATATAGAGTATATAGAATCACAAAAGACTATGTTAAGTGTTTTTACTTCTCATTTCTTTGTATATTTATGAACACACAGTAAAGATGCTTTACCTCTCTGTCTCTCTCTCTCAGGTGGGCGCTGTACGGAGAGATGTGGTCAGTCACTCGGTGAGTCGAGGAGTTGGAGTCCCTCACACGGAGGAGCTGTCCCCATGTTCAGGGGGCATCGGAGGTTTCCCAGTATTTGGAGGGGGCTACCCCAGTGCCCTGTCCCATCTGGAGGAAGGGGGCTTTGAGCAGGATGATGGGGCAGCCGAGGTTACGTGTATGTGACCAGCCCAAACACAGCGAGCAGTCTCGACAGTGTTGGATCAAGTCTGCGTCAACAATCAATCAAGTTTGTGATGTGATATAAATGGTTTTCATAAGCTTGACCGTTAGGAGTTAAGCCTTTTTTGCATTTACTCTGTCCCTGGAAATGAGTTTTTGCACCCCTATATAAGAACTTTTAGCACTTTTACATTTTTTTTTTTCCTCTCAAGCCATAACTTCCACAGGAGGTGAAAATCATCTCATTTTTCTTTCTTTTTATGACAAACCGCTATAAGGAAATATGCATCTGACCATCACCACCACCTTAGACTTTCTGTAGAAAATGTACTGTTTGAGTAACACAATGACCACAACAGGTTTCCAGTGCTGCACATTCATTTCCCTTCACACTTACTGTGTCACATTTTTTCCCTCACGTTTAATGGTTTTCCTCTTTTCTTTTTTTTTCTTTTTTTTTTCTTTTTTTTTTTACCCCCTGCTAAATCTACACCAGTTAGCACCTGCGTTGACTCGAGGTTAGACACTGGCTCAGGCACAGATCTTCTGCAGGATGTAAGATCCTCTGCAGGATGTAAACATTTATGTGGCGTGTTTTTCTGACATGCTTCTGTCGGTACTTGGGACATCCAGGCTTTTGCAGTCAAAACACTATGAGCACTCCATCCTCTCTGGGAAGCCATGGATTTAAGATGGGGCTTTCTTGGGCCAGGCCTCTTTGGGAAACTTAGTTTTTCACTGTAAATTGTTCATACACAGGGCCCGGTTCCTTAGCTCTTCGGGTGGAAAGTGAAAACGACTGACACCGAGGGCTGTGTCTTTTTGTTTGCAGTATTCTGCTGAAGGGGTGCTGGCGTAGTGCTGTACATTGATCACCAGAGGAATGCTTATGGAATTATTTTGCTTGTACAGCGTTTTGGTCACAGTTCTAAAAGGAAGGTCATGCACCCTGTTATTACTCCCACACAGGTTCACTTATGAACACGCACAGTGTTTTAGTTGAGTAATACTCATCTGGGTAACTCACTGGGTACTCCACTCGTTCATTTTGGTATTGAGCATCACAGTGGTCCTTATTCATCAAAGTGGCACATGGTCAGATCTGATTATAAAATGCATGCAAACTTCACCAACGATATTGTTAATGATGAGTTTGTTGGTACAATCAATCTCATGTCTAGTGTCATGTAAATTAGAATGTAATAGTTTAACAAAACTGAAAAAAATTCTTGATTTGCAGTGAACTGAGCGACACAAAACTATCAGTATCACCCATAATAAGATACAAAATAGAAAATAACAGTAACACTAATAATTTGGCCACATTGCTAACCAGTACAAAAGTGGATGTATTTATTTACATGCAATCTGATATTAAAAATGCTGCAATTATTCCCTATTCCATTGAAAAACATATTACACTGTGCTTTTGTTTTATATTACTGACACCGCCTAAAAAACAAAACACGACTAGTGCAGAAACATCTTATACTTTGCAGTAATATAACGTTTAAATGTTATTGTAGGAAAATAATCACAGTCTCATCACTGTACCATTGTAAACTAAGACATTTCTATTTCACATTTTAATCTTTCCAGTTATTGTAATTTTAACAATAAAAGTTTGGTCAGTAAGGGGAGCAGTGCACTGCTGTACCTCAAACTCTGCCTACGAGCACATCCATTGGCTCATCAGCCGCTGAATGCTGTCATTTTATTTGCTCCCTGCTGAAACGTGCATGAATTATTGTATGCTTCATGTAAATGATATACAAATGCGGTACTGTTATTCTGGCGCTTGATTTCACACACTGAAGCCAGTTCAAACTTGCACTCAAATTCTGCTTATTTTTGTACAAAGGTTTCACAGATCAGGTGTAGAGCAGTTCATATGCAAATAAAAGTCATGAAATCTGCACTGTTTTTTATGCAGCTTTGATGAATAAGGGCTAGTGAACAACTGTTTTTGCTTGCTTTAGTCTGAAATAAATGAGCTCAAAGTTAGCAGTGGTGCTACTCACAATATTAAAACTAGGAATGCATCATTATTTTGGGCCAGTTCTGATATCTTGCAGATACATACTGCAAATGAAATACAGATATTTCAGCACAGAGGCCCAGCGGTTTAAAACATCGATCAAATCTAAAAGTGTGTTCAAAGCAAGTACGTTTTTTAAGCAAATATCTACTGGTATTGATATGATTAATATGATGCATCCCTATTTAAGATGTCATGTTCAAAATCTTGGAAATGTTAACTTTTTCATACTTTGGCCAGATTTAATATTGTTTATTACCGACAATGTTTGTCTTTCTTTGAATCTTAAAACAAATAGCAAAACCAATAGGCTGTAGAACATATGCTGCTGTATATAAAATTAATAAGCCATAGATTATTGAGGTCCTTTTTGTGTAATTTTGATTTTATTAAGCCAGTGTTATCTACCAGCTGCAGTATTTGAATATTTGAACATTAACTTACCAGTTATTCTTGGTGTTAATATTTTATTAAACCATGTATACCATCTTCTCACTTTACTGTTTTCTTGTATGGCTTTTCTTCATATGGAAAATATGAAAAGCTAATATGCTGAACTCATCTGGTAGAACATGAAGCAGTGGAGATCAAAGCCAGCTGTGGGTATTTTCTTTTATTAACACCAACCATAATGAAAATATATTTAGTTCATTTAAAAAATAAATAAATACAATGGGTTAGATAAGACACCTTCATCCATACAATAACCTGATAACAAGTAAGGAAGGGGTGAATATCATCACGCTCATTTATAAAGGAGGAAAAGAAAGAAGAGAGACCCCAACAGCTGAAAGACTGGCATGATCTGTTATGCTGGAACGCAACATGTAGGGAGGGAAAGATGCTTTGGCTTTGGGCAGATGCAAGGGGCAAATGAAAAAGCAAACGATCTGGGAGGCTCCAGATCTGAAGTGAGTTTTCCTGAATTCCAGTCGTTTAGGCTCCTGCTGAAACGCTGAGTCAGTTCTGGAGCTGGAGCTCAAGCTTCACTCTCTCCAGCAGAGGTATTCTGGCCCTCGTCCTCCAGGATCGGAACGATCAAGTTGTCTTTAGACATCAGGTTGTACTTCATCACGAAGCGCGTAAAGCGGTGACACAGGAACGTCTCGTTCTGAAGGTGATGCACACAAGAAAGAGGGTGAGATTAGGGAGGCCTTAAAAGAGACACAGCCAGGGTGTAATCATGGTCATTCCACAGGCCATGCATAAATTAAAGCACTAGCTCAGTATTCTTTCCAGCTCAATACTTGGCTTTAAAATGCTGTCTCAAGATGCCACCTGCTGGCAGGTCTAGAGAATGCCATTTGAACAAGATGGGACCAAATGTCCACAACACAATACTTGCAGACGGGTGACAAATTAAAGGTGAATTCCACCAACTTTTCTGCACAATTCATTCAGCAGAGTGGTTTGATGTAAAATGCACCATACTAGAGACACTAACCAACTAAGAGCTCCTTAGAGTGGTGATAGGAACCAGGTGTCATGATGTACACAACTTACATATTTTATTTACTATCTGAAACATCCACTAAAACTATACATGCCTTCTGAGTTTTTGTGTAATGCTGATAATGGTAAGAAAAAAAAATAGTAAATCTGATCTATTTAGATATTGATTTGCCATCCAGTGCCCTCCAATAGGCCAAACTCTATTATAAATCAATATCAAATGATAATCATTTCATGAAATACCTTTCTACAATGTGTCTTTAAAAAGTAATAAACTCTTTAGACATTTGGTTCCCATCACCACCGTGACCAATTCTGACTCTGTAAGTTTCTCTAGAACGGAGCATTCCACATCAAAACACTCTGAATGACTTTGTTTACATCTCAACGATTAAATTATGCAGAAAGTTAAAAAGTGGATTCCCCTTTAAAGGAAAAACCTGAACAAATGAATTAAGAAACAAAAACATGTTTCCAGACAACTGACTCATTAAAATGCGGAGGAGGCTCAGCTGACCTTGATTTTGGATCAAGATGGAAAAAGGAAAAGATCTAAGTGACTTTAAAAGAGGGTTCATTATTGATGCATGAACGGTAGGAGCTTCAGTCACAAAGACTGCTCAACAGGCTGGTGTTTCATGAGGAACAGTGAATAGGAACATCCAAACTTTTTTTAACCTCATTTAAAACACACTGAGCATTTCATGACCAACAGACCAACAGAAATGGTCCAACATTACAAGAAATAAGATCATATCAATGTACATTAGAGTTAAGAATGTTTTTTCTACTACTATAAAAGGTACCACTTTGGAGATGGGAGGGTATTTTACGACAGTTACGATATACTGTCTGAATCTTCTTCTTTGAACTCTGCAGTTCTCTGAGCAGGAAACAAGCACCAAAACCATCACAGAACAGACAGTTCCATTTGTGAATTACCACTGTGATTTTTAAAACAATTCAATGTTCACTGAAGTTTTTTGCTGACCTCATATGAGTCAAATATTTGGCGATGGTGAAAGTAGGCGTGGGAGAAGATCCTGTAGATGCGACGGCAAACCGAGCCTAGCTTTGCTACTGATGACTCCTTAATGCTGACACTGTACAAAGAGCAAAAAACAGACAGCAAGGACTTGGCACCATGAGCACACTGTCATCATCATGTGGTAATTCATGAAATCAAACACCAATCTTATGTGCAAAGAGCTGGTCAGTGTGCAGGTATTCATTCCAATAAAGAAAAAGCACACATGATCAATTGGATAAAGATTAAGATTAAGACTAATTGAATAAACAAGTAGAATCAGGTGCACTACTACTAGATTGGAATGAAAACCTGCTGCAGCTACACCTGGCCTTTGTGGATAAGACTGGATACCCTTGCAGTGGTCTGGTCTATGAAATACTAATATGGAAATGCTGTGAAGTTAACTTGTTAAGTGTAAATGTAAAATGTACATTTGCAGTTAAAAGGCACATATCCTACCTTTTTGGTATTTTAGGTCCCCTTATGACTTGTGTGGTTTGATGCACCAAAAACAGCCATAATTCATTTGTACATAACCATTTTCCAACCTCTCTTTATCACTTAATTAAAAATGCTAAATGTAAATGACCCCTGCTCTGATTGGCTGCCCTGCACTGTGCCTCATTCAAAAGCAGTCTTAGCTGAAACGTTGCTTATAGCTTCAGTGTGAATGAGGGTGGCTAAACTGCTATAGGCTGAATAGGTGGATCTATGTGAATAAGTGACATCACAAAAACTATTTAAAACAGAGTTTTTGTAGCTAGGTTTCCATATATAAACTTGAATGTGAACAAGATGTTTTGAAACTAAATTTACATGAAACTCATTCATTTCAAAAAGTGAGGAAAAACTGATATGTGCCATTTAAACTCTTGTTATGTAACCATGTGAGAAGTAACTACATGAAAGTTTCATAACAACACCAGTGTGTGGAGTGTTTGTGCAAAGACTCACCGACTAGGGAAATATTTATTGCTGTTTAGAAGGCAGGCTGCGCCATCCAAGGTGTGCCTCGTGTAGTCAATGGCAGGACACTGAATGGACAGTAGAAAATACCAAACCATCATGATGTGCAGTCAGAAACTGATTCTGGAGCAGCCTAAAGGCATCGCACTGTTACTTTTTACACTGGTTTTGTTGTATGTAGGTCAATCAGTTGTCTTTACAGTTCATACTTTATCCTTGAAGATATGGTAAACGTCCACAAGCTGTGCATATTTACACCTTGCATTAATGTGCGTTTTCAGTAAACAGATGACCGGATAATAAGACGCATTGTGAGAGATCGGATTATGATCGGATCACTCAAATCACATTCGGAGGTGGTCAGAGACGAATCTTGACCACATTTAACATAAGTGTAAATGAAATATGTTTCCATTATTCATATACAATTACATGAGTAGAAATGCATCTGCTGAATCCTTAGCAGCAGGTGAGGGAATGAACAATGGCTGCGTTTACATGCAAAGATTTTTGCCGATCTGATTGAATACATTCCGATTATACATTAAGACTGAAGAATGTTTATATGCTTACTCCAATCCACTCTGACATATGTGCTGATGTGCTCTACATATAGGAAAAGTCAAATCGGATCTCACCTGGCAAACCAAGGGATGCATTTCAGTGAAAACTGTAAATGAAATCCGGACAAAGTATATCCAGATATAATCCAGACACAAAACGCATGTTAATGCAAGGTGTAAACAGGCTCAATGTTTTTTAATTCTTTCACACTGACTGATGTTGAGAGGTCTTCTGCAGAGAGATGGGGAGGTGCACATCTACACTCACCTCTTTAGGAGTCTTGTGGGCTGCACAGAGAAAAATCCACTGCTCAGTGGCAGTCATCTGGGTACATGTGTCTGGGTGGCACTCACTCTGTATACATGAAAGGCACAAGTAAATCGTAAACAAAGAGAAGACCTACATTTATGGAGATCCCAGCAGCATAGACCTGTTTCCAAAATACTGAATTACATCAACTTGGATGGTGCAAACAGCTTCATAAAAGTAATTTACTACCATATATACAGAAACAAAACAGAAAGTACCTGAAGTTTAACAGCCAAGCCATTGAGCTCCAAACAAAACTGCCTATTAAAACAACAAGAAAGAAAGACCTGAAAGAGGACTGTATCTGGAGACTGTAGAATTCACAGCTGAGAATACACTGATAACTGTTTCCATGAGCAGCATGCCAAGAACAACAGAACTGACTATTTCAGGGTATATCACTTCATGCTATGTTTCTTGACAAGCTTGTTCAGACAAATGAAAGTTACCTGAGATGTTCGTACTTCCACACTCCCTCATCCTGTCCCTCTGGAGGCTCCATGATCTTCTCTATGTTGGAGCAGTCAGAGCGGATGTTCTGCTGGATATACTGTAAAGATCAGAACAGTGACTGTTGTTATTGTGTGGTTAAACTGTAATGTAGATGTAAAGGGCAGATCTGGAATAAGGCAAAAACAAAACATCACTGTATGTCTAGCACTGAAAATGAAATGGCAATTCCAGCACAGCCCTCACTATGCAAGACAATATGAAGTAGCATGGATGAAGTGAAAAGACCTCCTACCTGTTGCACTGCCAGAGTGCTGTCCATCTCCTCAAAAGATTCATCAGGCCAGTTGTAGAAGTCCTGCCAAACAGGAGAAAACTCTTGAAGGTTGGCAATATGAATTCTTTAGTTTAGATAATAAAAGTGAATAATTTTAGGGATGCATAACAATATCAGAATCATATTAGTATGTGCTGACAATTGCTTAAAAAGGTTTAGATATGAATAATGCTTCAACCTGATATCTGATGATGTAATCCAGAATGTTTAGGTTCTGTTGGGCTACTGTGTTAAAATATCTGTATTTTATTAATTTTACTGCATCTGGAATCTTACAGAAATAAATGGTACATGTAAAGCCAGTCCAGGTAGACTGTAGGTAGACGCAATCTTCTACATTTAATAAATGTTTATGTATCAGCATCAGCCAGTATGTACAGAAAACTA